ACAATGATGTATGTTTTATCTAGTCGTCGATACGAATTGGCGCTTCTCAAGGAAAGCAAAAAATTCTTGTCCCCAAAATCTTATTTCTAGTCTTCACTTTTACAGTCGTTACCGTTCTTGAACAAGGGTTGATAGTCCTCAATAAGCATCAACAGCTGACGCCGGTGCACAAATAGTGTTGTTTGTCCTGATGATATCTCGTCTCCTCTTTAACCAGAGACGTCCTCCTCTTCCAACATTTGAGGCCACCAAAGCTATCACCCATGTTTTGCAAAGCCAGAAATACCGAGTAATTTTGTTAGTTACACAAACACAACCGAGCCAACAAAAATTTTCCCATTTGAAAAGCTATACACAAGGATAAGAAATGAAAAGGAAGCTCCACATATTATTGCATGCGCGTGACGTTCACTGGTAATACGAACATAAAAACACGCACAAATGACTTCATCACATCACTTGAAACGTTAGTTACACACGAGATGGTACACCCCTCTAATTTTAAACATATGAAGTATTATAAATTTGAAGGGACCTCCGACCTCTTACGTACGAAGTCTCTGGAAATCAAAGTAATCATAACCAGCACCATCGTCCTCCTTGTCAAGTCCACCAGCGATACCCACATTGATCGACATGTTCTCTGGCAGCTCGCCATAGGCCTTCAACAACCGGGCTTGATTTGCCGAGTAACTCAGGATTACATCAGCCTTGTTGTCCTGTTTAAATAGAATACGGATTGAAGATCATACAAGCCTCAGAATTTGACATCGGAAAATTCGTTCGTTTAGATTAGACCAAAACAAGAGCTGGAATATTTCTCCAGTTTCTTTAAACATGTACTTTTATTTGCATAACGTTTCTCTACTGTCCTTTGATCAAACTAAAACAGATGGTTGCAGTATTTAGAAAAATCAGAAAATCCAATAACAAATTTTCCCAAATATAATTAAAAAAGCTGGAATATTCAATAACCACACGAAGGGAAATTTATGAATTAAAAACTGCATTTTGTTTCTTCAGCCAGACTGTTGAGCTCTATAGAAGTAAAAAACTCAGTTTGAACCAATTGAGAAGAGAGAATGAAAAAAAGGACACTATATTGAACCAAAGATCTCAGTTCCTTAAAATTAGAAAAATCAAAACAGTAACTCACACAAATAAGTCTATAAACAGATAATAATTGTTGACCCTAAAAAATGCATCAACAAAATCCCTGTCACGTCCCTTCCACATGGACATCTCTGCACACCGAATACCCCGTTAGAAGGCAAAGGCCGCTGGTCGAGAAAAGGTCTAGCAACCGTTTGCACTCCGACCGACTGCCGACGAGGAAAATACGAGTGCAAGAGAAGGAAGAGATGAATTGGTTAGAGTAACAGAACATTCCTTAATTATGAAATGAAGTGTGTATAGGAAATGTAAACGGACATTTAGGCCTAATGGCTTATGCCTAAAAATACCCGACTTGCTTAAATAGGTCCACTGTAATTAAATAGTCGATGCCACGTAATATATGGGTGTAACAATAGTCCTCCAAGTTTGAGTCGTACATTTATGTGTGGGTCGAATTTTGAAATATAAATAGTCAAGTCAGCGAATGTGGGATCTTTTTCGTCAAGCATATGTTACGTAATTTATAGGCGTAACAATAATAATAATTTATTAATACCTGATAGTCACGGAGGCCGACGAGGATGATATCACCGGCGGAGATCCAGACCTTTTTATGCATTTTACCACGGATATGGCATAGACGCTTGACGCCATCGATGCGCATAGCTTCTAATCGGCAATTCCCCAACATCCTCAAAACCAGAGCGTATTCCTATCCATCTTCTTTGAACACGAATTCACGCTTCCCATAATCAGCCTCGTTCTTCCCTCTCTTGCAATTCTTACCACCCTTTCCCTTGTTCTTCGGCATCTCGCATGTGTTAGAAAATTTAAACGACCAGCAAAAGAGATTCAATTATGAGCCTGTTTGGTAACACTAAAAATCCAATTAAAATTGAAAATATAGTCGTTATTGGGTGTCACCCGTCTAATAAAAGTCAACAATAACAACTAATTTTTCAATTTTAATTCGATTTTAATCTNCCCTGTTTGTCTACCATTATTAAAAAAAATTGTTTGCTACAGTAAGATTTTCTACCACACATTCACCCAATAAAATATTCTACACACAAACCAATAAAGTTACTTTAAATTTCAATTACACATTCTCCAAAAAATACTATGCATTACTCAATTTCTTCTATAATAATGGAAGACAAACACACACCAAAAGAAAAGAAGTTCCAATTCCTATTCTCAAAGCTTGCAAGGTACTAAAGATCCATTTCAGAGGGTGCCCAACGGACCCTTCCATCTTAACGTAGACTATCTCATATGAATAATGTTGAGTAGTGTACACTCAGTTTGATAGCCCCCTCATGTAGGGGTGGGGCTTTCGATTTTTAAAATTGCAGGCCCCACTTCCTATGTGAGGGGACTGTTACCCATGATGTACATCAAGTATTTCCCATCTTATATTGATTCCGTTAACCCGCGCAAATTACCAAGATAATAAAAGTGAAAGCGTACCTTGATCCATGGAAACGGAGATAGTTGCGAATTCTTGATCTTCCTCTTTAATTTTTTTATGTAAGAATTGTGAACAATAACCATCTTTTAATATGTATTTTGGCCATCATAAAATACAACTTATCCTTGATATAATCTTCAATACATAATTAATTATTTATGTAGGTTCACATAACAAGTTATTTTTCGACAATCTTCCACTTGGACCACACATTTTACCTTATAAGTGCACATAATCTTATGAGCTCAAAACCTTTGCTATCATAATCAAAAACATCTCCGGACAATCTAGTCTACTGATTTTATTAATATAGAACCAAAACGATTTTCGTTACACGTCTTTTAACTCAACCCTTCCATTCCGTAGTCACATATATCAACATGCATTTTTTGATGATCCGAATGATCAGCAGAGCACTGAATTTAATTTCCAAAATTCTGATTGATTTGACTGGATTGAATTTAATTATATTTCTTAGCACATCCGACCTAAAAATGATTATTCTATTTGTATATCAAATATTACATCAATTACATAATGTTATTTGTGGCCATTTGAAAGCAATTTAAAATAGTGTGTAATTACACGAACACAATCGACACACAAAAATTTCCCATTTGAAAAGCTATACACAAGGATAAGAAATGAAAAAGAAACTCCATATATTATTGCATCCATGTGACGTTCACTGGTAATACATACATAAACATACGCACGAATGACTTCAAACGTTAGTTACAAACAAGATGGTACACCCCTCTAATTTTAAACATAATCGAAAGTATCATAAATCCGATCTCTTACATACGAAGTCTCTGGATTTTCAAATTCAATGTAATCATAACCAGCAACATCGTCCTCCTCGCCAAGTCCACCAGGAATACCCACATTGATCATCGTGTTCTCCGGCAGCTCACCATAGGCCTTCAACAACCGGGCTTCATATGCGAAGTACCTCAGGATTACATCTGCCTTGTCGTCCTGATTGAATCGTACAAGCCTCAGAATTTGAAATCGGAAAATTCTTTCATTTAGATTCGACCAAAACAAGAGCTGATAATTTCTCCAGTTTCTTTAAACATGTACTTTTATTTGCTTAACGTTTCTCTACTATCCTTCTTTAAACAAACTAAAACAGATGGTTGCGGTATTTAGAAAAATCAGAAAATCTAATAACAAATTTTCCCAAATATAACTAAAAACAATAACCACACCAAGGGAAATTTATGAATTCAAAACTGCGTTTTGTTTACTTCAACCAAACTGTTGAGCTCTATAGAAGTAAAGAACTCAGTTTCAACAAATTGAAAAGAGAAAACGGAGAAAAGAACACTATATTGAACCATAAATTCGCCAAAGCCAAAATTATATCAACCAAAGATATCAATTTCTTCAAATTTAGAAAAATCAAAACAGTAATTCACACAAATAAGTCCATGAACAGATGATGACAATAATAATAATGTATCAATACCTGGTAGTCGCGGAGGCCGACGAGGATGATATCACCGGCGGAGATCCAGACCTTTTTATGCATATTACCACGGATATGGCAGAGACGCTTGACGCCATCGATGCACATAGCTTCTAATCGGCCATTCCCCAACATCCTCAAAACCTGAGCGTATTCCTGTCCCTCTTCTTTGAACACAAGTTCACGCTTCTCATCATCAGCCTTGTTCTTCCCTCTCTTGCGATTCTTACCCCCCTTTCCCTTGTTCTTCGGCATCTCGTATGTGTTCGAAAATTTAAACGGCCAGCAAAAGAGATTCTATTAGAAAATGGCCATCCTTTCACACACCTTTGTACTAAACTAAGTAGCTTAGCTCGCAAGGAAAAGTACTGGTTGACGAAGACTAAATGTCATGTCAGGAAGTCTTCTAATCAACAAGCTACTAGGCTAAAAGAAAAGAAGTTCCAGTTCCTATTCTCAGAGCTTGCAAGGTACTAAAGATCCATTTCAGAGGGGGCCTCCCGGACCCTTACATCTTAACGTAGACTACCTTACATGAATAATGTTGAGTGGTGCACACTCAGTTCGACAGCCCATTCACACAAGTGTGGGGCTTGCGATTTTTAAAATTGTAGGCCCCACCCCCTATGTGAGGGGACGACAACCCATGATGTACACCAAGTATTTTTCATCTTATATTGATTCCATTAACTCTGCGCAAATTACCAAGATAATAAAAATTGTGAACAATAACCATCTTTTA